ACCACTCCTCAACTTTCCCTGATCGGCTGGTGGCAGCGCCAACGCGCCACCCATTTAAGTTTTCCATTTTCTCGACAAGCATTGGAAGCGCATGGCTGTCGTAAAAAGTGTCGAAGGGGATTCAAAGTTTGCTGGATCGGTGTCCAATTCCCCCTCCGGCCTGAAAGTGTGCCTCAGCCCTGAGAAGACCGAGAAGCTCCATGAGATGTTCCAAGAAATTCGGCAGTTTCGTAACCTCATCCCAGCCCGTACCCTCCACACAGCTGCAGGCGTTCTGGGATGGATATCAAACCTCATCCCAACAGCGAGACCGTGGGCATCCATGCTATGGGCTGCAGTGTACGCCTCAGAGTCGTCTAGGTCTCCAGCCAAACTCTCAACTCGGGTGAGGAAGGGGTTTTCTTTCAAACGACAAGTGGAGCACGCCTTGCATTGGCTTGAAGGGATGCTCAGTGCCAAAACTGGGACAGGGCCCAAGCTGGAACATGCTTACCGGTGGAGTGAGCGCATACCAGTTCTCGAACCTCTCACTGATGCATGTCCTTCAGGCGTCGGAGGAGTGTTGTACGCTGCTTTGAAGCCTATCGCATACTTCTCTCATCAATTTTCACAAGAAGATTGCAAGCTCTTGGGCACCTCCATAGGCGATCCCGTTTTTCAATCCGAGTACGAATTGTACGCCATTCTTGTTGCTGTCCTGCTGTTTAAGGACTTCTTCAGTCAGGGCAGGTCAAAGTTTCTTTCTCGCAGCAAAGCGCAAGTGTTTCTCCGTATTGATAACACCAGCGCTGTATTAGCATCAACCGAGTACAGGACAAAATCTCCCATTTTGACTTATTTGGCTGCTGAGTTGGCAGTGCAAGTTGAAGGGTTCGGCATGTGCCCAATCAAGGGACGTCGCATCATGGGAGTGTTGAACACTGTTGCTGACCCGTTGTCAAGAGACGTGGTGCCAGCCGAGCTGGCGCATGTTGAACGCTTCTATGTGACTGAGTCGATTAGGGCGTCCTGCAAAGTCCTTCCCAAGCGCTGCTACTAGACTCAAGCCTGAGCTGGAAAATGATGGTTGCGCTGTGCCATGGGGGTTGCGCATGGCATGGGCCTCGAGACGTGGAGGTCCCAGTCGGGTGAGAAAGAGCGGCCCAATTAGAGGATTAAACTTCATCAATGCTGCTGGTGACGATGTGCTGCCTCCAGCTGTTGCAAAGGCCCGACTTGATACCGGGTGGTCAGTGAGCTCGTGTCAGGTGAGCGCGTGTCGAGGAGTGTGTTCCGGAGAATGCGCGGAATCTGTTCAGCAAGAAGCAGCCCGTCTCGGCCCAGAGGTGGCCTCTGGGTGCGTTCAAACCGAGACGCTGGAGCGGAGGCGCCGTGATGCGCCATGGATATCGTCTTCAGCCAGGCAAAGCAAGCGGGCGAAGCCCACGCTCGCTACAGCTGTGAGTATTGCGTCCTCAAGTGAACAAATGTGGCCAGAGAAAATGATCAGAAACTGATTTATGCATCTGGCACCCGAAGCTCGAAGGACTCGCGCCTTTCTGTGTGGGCGGTGCTGTGCAGAAAGAGAGGTCTGCCGGACATGCCCGTGTCTCCTGAAAGCATTCATGAAGTTGGATCGATAATGCGCAGATCCGCATACTCATATCTGCTGGACGTGAAGCTTGAACATGTCCGCAGGCAATGCGTGGAGCGACGCTCTAGACTTAGCTCTTCGTGACGCCGAGAGAGCGCTCACCAAGGGCCTATGTGGAGCTTCAAAGGCGGAAGAGATGCGGCTTGAATGGCTGCCATCTCTGCCCGAGACCCCAAGAGATGACAACAGTCCCCAGAGGGGGCTCTCTTGTGTGGGCATTCGGCGTGCGCTTTGTTTTGCGAGAAGTGGAGCTGGCGTCCGTTGTCCTTGCAGATCTGTGATTTGATTGGAGTGTCAAATTTGTTACCCTTCAGGTCCCAGTCAGCAAGACGGACACCCGTGCTGTAGGCTGCCGAAGAACGTTGGCATGCTGCAATCCCATTTGTAGGGACGAGTGTGAGGGGCTGACATGCCCGTTTTGCGTGGCGGCAAAAGTCATGCGCGTCCAGAGTGCACCGACTTGCGTGACATCGTCAATGGACGAAGCTAAGGAAGTTCCTCTGTTTGGTCAGCAAGGTGACCCATTTTGAGTCATCGAGAAGGAGATGGTGGTCGAAGCAGCCAGACAGGATGCTGCGTGGCTGGTTGAGGCAGTTCCTGAGGCAGCTGTTGCTCAGATCACTGGCCACTTCATGCGATGATCTGGATGTGAGCGATTAGCCAGGGAGGGTGTCCCGAGGGACGCCGTACAGCACTTGGCGCGGCGCAGCTCATCTGCAGTGGACGGATATGTGGAGGAGGCTGCCGAAGAGGCACCAGGCGCTCATTTATGGGCGCAAGAGAGCATGGACACAGCTAGACGGTTGGAAGGTTTTTGGCAACAGCAGGAACAAATCAAGCACAAGATGTCAGCGCAAGAGAGGCTGGCGTGGAGAGAGGAGGATATTCGTGCCTGTGTGGAAAGGGTAGTCGAAGGACGATGCCTCCAACCTAGACCCTTTCATGCGGAAGGAGTTGAGCAGATCATTGCAAGAGAAACCAGTGCTGCTGTAGCCAGGGCAGCTAACGGACTTGTTATGCCATCACACGTGTGTGATTAGTAACAAGGGAGTGTGCTGCTTGGAGGTGAGGCCCATTGAAAACCTTAGCATCTTGGCCCGAGAGATTTTCCCACCCTCCCTCCCTACACGCGTGAGATTACGCTGGCAGTTGAGTAGGGCACGTAGTAGACGGACTGGACCAAGGCCGGGACTGTCGAGGAGTGCAGAGGACTCCGGAGACAAGATCGGCGGGTCTCCAAACGTCAGCTCCGCCCTCAGCTCAGTAAAGGTGCGCTTCAGCCCTTCCTGTGAGTTTAAAAGTGTGTCTGCCTGTTTTCGGGTGGTAGGGTAGGGGGGTTTGCAGCTAACGGACTTGTTGCGCAGGGTGCGAGTGCGATCCAAGGGCATGACCCTAACATTGCACGAGCTAGAGACTCTACTACTGATGCTTGTGATGGCGCCGATCTCTTCAGGAACTTGTCCGGTGATTGGGTGGGCGCAGATTGTGGCAGCCAGGACTGCTATCGGGTGAACAAGCATACCTGTGGATGTACTTCCCTGAGTGACAGCAGCCATCTCTGCCTTGGTTTCGTGCTTTCGCGGCTGCTTCCTCAGCAAGTCCGGACTTGCCTTCTGAGCTACCTTCGACTTCGAGGGCGCCTCATGCGGAGATGACGCCCCGGAGCAGGACGACGCGTACGGCAACGACGCCTGGAGGCCGACCAGCGCCAGATGACGGAGACTGGAATGAGCAAGCTGAACCGACTTGCTCACCAAGGACACTGAGCTCCTTGGACTTCTCGGAGGGCAACCCGCCGCCTTGGATACGGTCATGACCGCAGATTAGAAGAAGAACGGTGCGGCCAGTAGCTCTTCCACGCCGGCTTGGCAAGAAGGATGGGCCCAGAACACGGCGTGAAGTGGCGCGGAGGAGCAGCGCCTGTTCTCCGGAGTGGGCTTACGAGAGGGACGACCTCAGGGCGTTTGCAAGTATGAGCGCAAGGTCCGACTGTGGAAGATACAGGTCGACCCGCGCGTGATCAAACGCAAGGCCGCTCTCCAGGTCGAGCGGGGAGTCTGAGCAGGAACTTGAGCGTGCGCTGCTTGACCGGATTAACAGTCCTGAAGGTGTCAACTACATTCTGGGACAGCTTCGAGGTCTGATGTCTCAGCGCCTGGTGTATCAAAAGCAGGTATAGAAGAACCGAGCGCAATCTCCAAGCCATAGACATCAATGTGGCTGCCATGTGTGATGGCGATGCAAGGGGGAGTCGGCTTCTGGGCCTAGCACGTCTTAGTCCTCAGGACCAGCGCCTCGTCTTGGTTGGAGCTCGCTAGACTCCCTGAGCTTCGATGACATTGCGGAATATCTCGTGATGCAGTTTCCTGACTTTAAGGCGCCGCCCCCGGTCATGGGCGAGGACGGCCAGCTGATCACCAAACCCAAGAGCAACAGCAAGTCCAGCGCTCAGCCTCAGCAGCAACCAGCAGGGCATGGCCAAGGAGGAGGCAAAGGTGCTGGCAAGTTTGGTTCCGCAGGGTTTTCGTCACTGAGGCTGGCCAGTCCACAAAGCAGCAGGGAGATGATGACGCTCCCGAGCAGGGCAACAATGTCGATGGCGAGTGCAACCAGGCCCCAAGCGACCACATATATGAGGGTGAGGCCGGCAACCAGGAGGATGACCAGCGCGTCGACTTGGATGGCCTTGTCCAGGTCTTCACGGTCGCAGGTCCCTGCCTCGCGAGCGTGAAGCTTAGGCAGAAGTTCTCTCTGTTGAACAAGGTCCCAGCAAGCAAGCTCAAGAAAAAGACCGCGTGCGCTGTATGCGGAGATATTGAGCACTGGAAAGGCGATCCTCAGTGTAAAGTGTCTGGAGCCACCGCGGCATCGTCGACAACCGCTTCGAGTCCATCCACTGCTCCCAAGAAAGGAGGCAAGGGTGACAAGCCACATCAGACGTTTACAGTCATGCGCAGTGACCTCGGTAACTATGAAGTACGATCAGCTTACGGCGCCGCCTTTGCAGAGCACCAGCCCGGCGGCTAGCAGGTCACCGTTGTGTTTGCCACGCAAGATGTTGCCCATAACACTGGCTTTGTTGGCTACGTGGTGCTTGATACAGCCTGTCAACGAACATGTTGTGGACGTAGGTGGGTTCAAGAACATCAAGACCTGCTCACCGTCTACGACTGCAGGGATAGGTTCCAATTCGGTAAGGGTGATCTGATTCCAGCAGACCTTCGTGCATACATTCTTGCAGTTCTTGATGATGGCCCGATGCCGGAGTTCACCTGTTAGCAAGCAACCCACTCTTGCTCGGGATGGTATTGGGCCTGCCTAGGATGGTTGCGTATTTCGAGCATCTGTCTGCTGAAGTGCCTGTTGTCAACTTGAGGGGGCACCTTGCTGTTAACACTGCTGCATTTCTCTGCGTGCACAGTTGCAAGCTTGAAGCATAAGATGAGCCGGGTTGATTGGCAGAGTGCGGCTCCCGAGCTACAGCTTGAGCAGCCCCCGCTTTCCAATTCGACACGTCGTGCGTCAGCCTCCGCCACCGTGGTTGCACAGATGGCGCTTTGTGATGAAAACCTTCTACCTGTTCAAGAAGAATCTGTGCAAGCGAAGGTGCCAAGCTGTTCGCCTCAAGATCTGGGATCGACCTTGGCTGATCGAGACAACGCCGCCCCGTCTGGACGCTCTGTTCACCAACCCCGAGGAGTGCGACCACAGCGACATCTACCGGTACGGGGCAACGTGACGGGACGATACCCTCGACGCCGGAGATGCATGACAAGGTGGGTGTGGAGAACCGCCGATCAAAAATGGCAACCGTGCCCTTTCAAAGGATCGGCGCTGCCCTTGCCCTCCTGGGACATGTGGCGGCGCCTGCAGCAGTGCCCAGCAGGAGGACTTCGCTTTCGGCAGCGGCGGCCAAGACGAGACCTACCTCGGCCCTCCCGGAGTATGACTGACGGACTATACCGTCGCAGCCTTTGACTCGGCGGCTCAGGGACATGACGGCCGAGGAATTCGACGCTTGGAGGCTGCTGAACGAGGAAGGGGGAGCATCTACGACTGGGACGCGTGAAAGGGTGCACGCGCTTGGTTGGCAACATCAGCAGAGCAAGACACGCCCTGAACGGAGAGGTGAAGGTCGACCAAGCTCTTCCCACCGTGGCTTCTCGTCTTCCCGATTGCGTTGACCTTCTGAGGCACGACCAACTGCGTGCAACCGGGGCGTTCATACGTGTCAACCTGTGGACTTGCTCTATGGCTGGGACTGGGGCCTGGACACACAGCGTGACCAAGACTTGGTCCGTTCTATGGCGAACTCTCCGCCCGTCATCGGCTACCCTGACACCCACTACAACGTCTTCAACGAAAAGATGAATTATGCGCATCGACCTGTTGGCGGTCGGCCGATTGCCTATAGGTTAGTAGTCGATTCTTCCTTGAGCGGTGTTACCCAATCGTGCCGCGTGCCAAACAAGATCATGCTGCCTAAAATCTCGGACGTTGCAGCCTGCGCGCCGCTTGCGCTGGGGTCTGAAGAGTGGGTGGCAGCCTCCATCGATGTGGAACTTCAAGCTCTTCGCGACCGCGAACGACCGCGATGGCGTTTCATGGCAGACCTTTGCAAAGAGCAGGCCGAACATGGGCGGCGTTTCTTCATGGAGAACCCCCATGCATGCAGCGATCGCGACTGCGGGAACAGGACGAGCTGATTGAGCTTTCTCACCGGGGCGCCATCGGCCACGCTCATTTCGGCGCCCTCGGCTCGGAGACTCTGCGTGGTCCGATCGGCGTGCTCACCAATTATGCCCGGACGCGCGGAGAGACTCTGGGTCAAGTTGATCCATCGACCGGCAGTGTTGTGCACCCACCCAAGGAGCTGAGACAAAGCATTCCCAGGTTTATCCTCGCCCGGTCGTGCGCGAGATCCTCCTTCACTTGCACGACCTTGTCGCCGAGAAGGAGCCTCTGCGCTTCGGCAACTTTAACGTCTCTGCCGCCGCACGCCCAATTCAGGCTGCTCCATCCAATGCAAAGGCGTTTCCAGCTCGAGGAGTTGTGCTTGAGTACATCGATGGCGCAAAGCACATGGAGGTCGAGCAGCTGGAGGAGATCAGACACCCGAAGAGTCGATTCAGCCAGGCAGTGCGACACGCGGTCTTCATCTACGGTGACTCCTATCAAGAACGTGATGCTGCCCATGAAGCTGACGTACAAGACCCTTCAGTTCCGGTGCCCGGACTTCCAACGGATATCACTTTTCCGGCATTGGGACCTCAAGTATTTGCGGAGGTCAGGCGCTCCTCCATGGGCGCGATTGCATTCCAATGTTGGGACACCCATCACCTCATGCTACTACATCGAGGCATACCGAATGCGGCCGTTTTGGAATGTCTCAAGAAACTCCAGTGCTCTACTTGCGAGCGCTTGAATCGGCCACAACAGCCACGTCCAGCAACCGTCATGCCCTCGACAGCTTCTCAATTCAATGAGTCCGTGCAAGGTGACTTCTTCTACGTTCGCCTCAGTGCGGGAGAAGCTGTGCAAGTCCTGGGGTTGGCCGATACTGCCACAGGTTTCCGCCAGGGCGCCGTGCTACGAATGAAGTGTTAGAGAACCCTATGACATCCTCGATCGAGTTTGGCTTCGACCTAATGGACTACCAGCGCGCCTTCTTCTTGATCCTGATCCTCTGTTCCAGGGCGAGTTTGACGACATGCTCTCCACTGTCAGTGTGCAGGTTGGCTTCTGTCCGAGGCCCATTGGGTGCTTGGCGTGGTGGAGAAATGCAACGCAGTACGTCGAACCATCCTGGAGAGCCTCATCAGTGATCGTTGTGCCATGACCGCAGACGATCTTGAACGTTTGCTGTACCCAGCGATCCACTCATTCAACTCCTCGTCACCAACAAAGGACGAAGCCTTTACCACGCTGTGTTCGGGAGGATACCGTAGGTTCCTGGCGGCCTCTTTACCGACCAAGGAGATCTGGCCGAGACACCTTATCCGCAATGAAGCCCTTCAACACCTCAGTGCCATGAATGTGGATCGAGAACTTCGTCGAGCCCTGCTGCGGAAGACGCGCAAGACCATCAGCCTGGTCAGAAGTGTTCCTGCTGGAGGTGGCGCAAGCGTGGACTACGCAAGAGAGGAGCCTGGAGTTTCTTGTCGGGGTCCGGAACCGCGGCAAACAGGCGTGGCTACTCAGTGGCAACTCCACCGACTCCACCATTCTGGGAGGCCGTCGGTTGGACTCCGGACGAGCACGGCGGTCAGGCCTTCAAGGACGCCATGGTCAGCCTGAAGGAATCTGTCTGGCGCGATGAAAGAGGCATCGTTTCTGGGGATGCCTCAGTGGAAGATGACGAGGACTTGAAAGACTACGACTACAAGCCATAAATGCCGGCGACGCCCAGTATGGCGCCGCTTGACCCCACGTCTTCCACCGCGAGCTCTTCCCTCAATGAGCCTGACCTATCATCAGACCATCGCACCAGCAGAGGTTTGGCGACCCGACGCCGGCCTTCAACAGAGCACCGACCATGATATCAAGCAGCATGCTCTCCACAATCAACCCAACCATAGGAATCCATGAAGGGTATAGTTCAACCTCACAGCCCAACAAGGGCTGGGCATAGAAACCCTGAGGAGAGCCTTGGTTTTCCTCCATAGCCCGCACGAAAGAAAGAAAAGGAGCATGCAAGGAGCAAGGGAGAACTGGAAAAATGAAATATGTGCAATCGGGGCTTATAAAAAAAATGTGCCGGCAGGAGATCTACTTTTTCCACAATAGCAATCAATTTTGTCAAAAAGACATATTCTGCAAGGGTGTTGAGAGCAGCTGACAAACAGTCTAGTAGGGCATGGCAGTTGCCATCCTGGACGATGAATGCAAGCCGTCAAAAAAGATGTGTGGCAATATCTTGTGTGGTTGGGATAGCGTTCGTGGCTTGAGACCAATATGTGGCAGGCTTTGGCTACGCATTAGCATTGCAGGCATTTCCTTGCGCCAGCAGCTATGCAGATACTTCACGAAAACAAGCAGATTGCAAAGCACCAAGCCCGTTGACGCATGAGTTTCATGTGTTGGATTCTGGAAGGATTCTGGCATTAGCTGATGACAACAGCCCATGTCGTGAATGTCTGCTCTGCGAGCATGCCTTTTTGCCCCCGAGGAGCTTTGACATGAACGTGTCTGTCAAGCTGGTGATGCCGGTGGAATGTCTTTGATGATGGTGGCTTTCCCCCTGACGTTGACGATGCTGCTGCTGCTGACTGTAGTGGTGATTGATTTTGGCAGCAGTCATCGTCGCGGTGGTAGTTGTGGCTGCGTTGGTGATGCTGTTCATCTCCACAAAAGTGATGATCATCCGTGTTTCTGTTGTTGTTGAGGCTCTTGATGCTGCAGCTATTCCAGCCATGGTGGCCTTTGTTGCTGAGTACTTTCGAATACGATGCTACATTGCGATGTCGGACCTGTAAAATTCAAATCTGTGAGGAGCTTGGCTGTCTCCTTGTGCGCACAGGCAGTCGCTGGAAACTTTGGAGGGAGAGACTTTTGCCTGCACGTCTTCTTGCGCTTAAGACCACCCCAAGCACGCACAGAGCTTTGGAGGGATCTTTGATCTAAGACCTCAGGCGAGGGAGTTGTCGAACTCTACCACAACGATGAAAATGAGACGTACACAGCAGCCTGCTTCGTTGAGCACCAGAAAGATCTGCAGGCAAGAGTGCGGCCAGTGCTGGAAGAAGATGTTTCTCTGTTCTTGCGACAGGCTGGACAGTGCCTGGTCCTGGGCTGTGCCAGTGGCCGCGTTCAGGCATGGGATTCGAGATCTGCAGAAATGCTGGGGCGCCCTGCCCAGGCCTGGCCAAAGGCTTCTGTTTGTCGATGTTTTGGGTTTCTGCTTTGTCAAAAGCAGGCCTTCCACTCCCTAGCCAGCGGTGCTGATTGCAGCGTATCCACTTTGGCAGCTCCTTCTTCGGCCAGAGGAACCGTATTTGCTGCCTGTTCTGGATTGCCGGACATTTTGGAGATTGGAGTGATAGATGGCGTGACCAGAAGCTCCCTTTGCAGCGGCAAGAGCTGCACTTAGCTGCGGAACTGTGCATTTCACTTTTGCAGACAACCACGTAGTTTCTGGTGGTGGCGGCGGCGGTAGAGTTTGGAGGAGGAAGATGAGGAGGAGGAGGGAGGAGGAGGAGATCAGCAGCAGCATCAGCAGCAGCATTGGTGTTGGCCTGTGTGTGTGTGTGTGTGCATTCGCTTGGTGTCAATTAGCTTGCTAATAGCACTCGGGTGGCCATTGCTGGTGTTCTAGATGCTGAGGGTACTGGTGGCGACGTGTGTTTGCAAGAGTTTCGTGGTGAGTGCGGAAAGAAGCCTTTGGCGTGGGAAAATACAGGTAAATTGCTTGCTGCGAAGCTTCCAAGGAGCAATGTCATCGGCATTTCCATTGCGGGTGCTGCGTCTCAATGGCTTCTGAGCTCTTCGCTCAGTTCCCCGTTGAAACTTTGGCGCTTGCCGGATGCCGGGGCCAGCTTGAGCAACTTGCAGAAGGCCTGGAGTGCATCAGAGATCATGATGCTTGCAATCAGGGTAAGCAGTGTCCTTGTGTGATCTTGTCTGATCATGATGAAGGCCCACCGGCGACTGAAAGCCCCTTCTGGTGGTTCTTGCCACGTGGATCTTTGCTCCTTCAGTGGCCGCCTGTTGGCGTTGGCCGCAGATGGCACGATGCAGGCTGGGCGTGCTCATGCTGAGCCAGGGGAGGCTCTACGATTGTCATGGCAACGCTTTGGAATGTTGTGGAGGTTGACTTTTTCGATGCCGGTGCCGAAGATCATGGACTGCATGAAAATCCTTGGCACACAGTGTACAATTGGCACGTCCGCAGGAGCTCCAAGCCAGGGCAAGCAGCCACCCATGACCTCGACACAGGTGCGCGCATTTGGATGTCCTGCGGCGTGCCTTATCAAAGAATTCCGGGCAAAGGTGCTTACTTGTCACGAGCGAATCAAAGAAGCTGTGATGCTGAGAGAGATGGATGCAGGCAAGGATTTTGCTTTGACTGTCTCGAGCTAGTTGGTGACATCTCACTGACGCTTCGTCCAGCGCTGTCATGGTTCCATCTTGTGTGAGGTGGTAAGCTCATGGTGCTTGGCCATGGGCCACGAATTGTCGCATGTTGGGCACTGGCTTTTCCAGGCTTGGTGTTTGTGCGAGTTGACCCGGAATCAATCTTCCCGCCTTCTGGATTGAGGCCCAGACTCGTCTACACGAACAGCAGCCTGCCTAGTTGGCCTTTTGCGCATCCTGACATGAGAAGTGCTATCGCTGCTAGCTGGAGTTCCCGCATGAAAGGTTGCGCCGATATTCTCGGTTTCAAGCACCGAGCCAAGATCCCAGCACACAGCTTCAACAGACCTGGCCGTAGCTACAAAATCTTGGGCTGTTGATGGCAGGCTGGGAGGTAATATTGTCTGTGCTCGAGGTGCAATCGTGTTGTGCTCATCATTGGCCTGATCATCCATGTTGGATGTGTGCAGGCGCACAGCTCGCCATGAGACGTTTGCAGGGCCCTTTGAGTTTGCATCCTTGGGGCATTTCTGGTGGTTGCCTGCGACCCAAGGCGGACGGAAAAGTTGATGCTGGTGGTGGCTTATGGTACTGCGGCCAAACCTTCCTTTGCACAGGCCGGAAGTGGAGTTTCAGGCTGTAAGCATCTTGCTATCATTTCTCACGTGGTATGCCTGAGTTTCGGCTCTAGTGACACACACACACACACACTCACCACGTGCCAACTGTCCCCAGATGCAGATAGGGAGTAGCACACGCCCATGCAAAACAATTGGACTTCCTCTCCGGTCCGGCTGAGCAGCTCGATGGGCGGCAGCGACATTTCATCGCCATTGGTCTGCGATCATTTCTCAGGTGCTTCCCTCAGCAGGGACAAGCAACAAGGTTAAGTCAAATAGCAATATGCAGTCCGATGCATAGCGGAGTTGTGTGCCGTGCATGGTACTCAGCGCTTGGCAAGGTAGTCCTTCGGCGCCAATGTCGATAGCATCTTGTCACAAAAGCTGTCGTTTTGGAGAGCAGCAGGCTGTTCTAGTGCTTTGCTAGGCCCGCTGCGTTGTTCTTTGTCTCGGCTGCAACCTGTGCTGGTCCAGAGCTTGAATTTGAGCAGAGCTGCATATTGTGCCAGAGAAGTGTGCTTAGGTTTGCATGCGCACTCAGCCCCGAAGCCAAGCAGCCGTGGCTGGGGCCATCAGCAGTTGCTACATTGGCAGCTGTTGCCTTACTCACGTCCAATTCTCGAATTCAGCTGCTCAAAGCTTCTTGTCAGCATTTTGCTGCTAGAGACTTTTGAAGCATAGCATGCCAGAATCTCGCGGAACGTTTAAGTGAAAAGCACTTTGAAATGGTTAAGACGCCACTGTCAGCGTCAGACGCGCTAGTGAGTGTGAAGCAGATTAGACAAGCCTTGGGAAGGGAGCAGCTTGTAGCAGATTTGACGTGTCTTTACTTGCGCAAGTTTCATTCAAAGTGAAGCTCGCTATGACACAGCAAATTGAAGACTTACATAATGCGAAAAGACGAAGCAAATAGCCTCAAGATAAGAAGACAAAACGTGCACTGGACATGAAGCGACAGAACTAGTTGTGTGTTGTGCTCATCGTGTGGCTCCATCACAGTGTCACTTGCGGCGACATGTGTAGTTGCTCCTACTTGTTCGTCATACAGGACCTATTAGCATGAAATCAAATCAACTGTTTCGCGATTCATCTCAAAAATTGATGAACTGAGAGGCTTGGGCAGCTTGATCTTAGGAACCGCTGAATTGAATTCTTCGCGTCAGTCTTGCACATCCCTAGCAGGCGAATTCGAGAACAGGCAAATCGACATTTGCACCAAGTCGACAGCATAGTGTGTTTTCTCATAGCTCAGATGCTTGTTGATGGTCTTGGAATACCTGTTTTTGTATCACTTCGTGTGCCACACGACGAACCGTTTGGCCTTTCTGTGTCTTCACCATGTGACCTGGTTTTGATACTGGATCGGTTTTGAATCGAGCCAGTGCCAAACGGGTGGCTTTGTCTCGCGAGGTACCTCATGGTTGCAGATGTAGTACCCGACGGTCGCAGAAACGCATGCATCCCTCGCAGTTTTCTTGGCACACGTCCACGGTCTGTGCTGCTTCCACAGGGCTCAATGTTTTTCCGACATGCAGAGTTTGCGTTTGTTCATATCTGGTGCGAAACCAAAGCCGCATAGGAATTTCTGACTCCTTGTAAAGGTGCGCCTTACTCCCTGTTCATGTCTCCTTTTGTTGATGACGGGCTCCAACTGACAACAAGTGGTGTAATCAGAGGATGATGTTTTTGCCTTACTCTTTCTCGACAACAAATGCGTTGAATGAATGCGGAATTGAAAGATGTTGCTTCGGGTTACAGAATAATCTTGTGGCACTTTCACACACACAGGTGGCGAGACCATACAGAGTGTGGTGCAAGCAGGCATACAGACTGTCAGCCTGCAGAGAGTTGCGGGGTGACAGTAGACAAATTACACGAGTTCAAGTTCGGCAGGGGAGGGGGGGGTCGAGCATGATCTAGCATGAATTGTTCACATGAAGTACAAGAAGACGCAGCCTGCAGGCCAGCTTGCCTTAGGAAGGATGCACCATGACGTGCTAGTTGAAACATCAGTCTAATCTCAAATCCTGGCAGTAAGAAGAAAAAGCCTTGCCTTGGGAGTGCCTGTATTTTTTGTGTGGGTGTTTCCACTGGTGTGTTTGAGGAGACATCCTGGAAGGAGCAATGGAGACGGAACTGACAACTTCTGCTAGGTCATGGTCTCATATGTCTTCGTGGGTTTCGTGCTGGAGCCTTCTCCGCAGTGCTGTGAGCTTTCTTTAATAATGCTCTTGTCCTACACTGAATCGAATCAAAAGCCTGCTCCAAACACAGCTGAGGATTCCATGCAGGCAGGGAATTGGAATTCTTGTTCTGTGTCAAGCCTCGACAGTGTGGCGGAGGTGGCTCTTGGAGCAATGTCGTTTGCTTCAGAACCTCCGATGGTCGGATATTTGCCCCTGTGGTTCCTGGCGCTCTGGGCAAACTTTGGCTGTGTGGTGCCTGACTCGGACAGATGCACATAGGTCTGCATGCCATGCTTTCCGATGTTTGACCTTTCACACGGGCATACATTACTCAAAAAAGAGAGCAGGTCTTGGAAATGACGAGTTGCAAAGCAGATGAAATGCTTTGAAAGGCCGAATACCTGCCAATCTTCAAGCCGTATACTGCAAGAAACTTAGGAAGGTTTGCATGTTGCTGCGGTGTGCTGGCAGAGCGATGGCTCGCGTGTGGATTCGTCAGAAATCCTGCAAGGTAAGCTGTGTCCTCCTGGGAGCGGTGTTTGGCCCGGCAGCGTATGCCGGCGGCCAACATTTTCAAGCACTTCAGATTTCCAGGCGGGCAAGAAGCATGAAACCAGCAATCAGTGGAAGCCGCAGAAGCTGCAAACTCCTTTGCCAGGCCTGGGCTGTTTGCCATCTCTCTGGAATGGGCATTTTCTTTCCCTTTCCTGGTTTACATCGCGGACACATGCCTGAAAGATAAGGACCAGCGCACTTAGGTCCTGGGTAGCTGTCAGTACATCCAAGACGGGTGTCAGCTGGCAGAGCCATCAGCAATCGGTTCAAGCTAAGCGCGTGTCCAAAAATCCAGTGAGGCGTCAGTTGCATGATTTTTGATGCCTGCTTTTGAAGCATTTAATTTTGAAGCAGCTCTCAAAGCGATGATGTGGCGGTACATCTCCGTCGGCTGGCTCAAGGTTTTGTAGCACGGTTTGGTGGCTGTGGGGCTCACTACTTGTAGCCGCCATGTTGGCCTCGTCAGGGACCAGCGTTTCCATATGTGCCTGCTATCAGCTGATGGTGAGACTTCATCGGCTCTTGTGCATCCAACGTTCATAATGTTTGTGCAGTGAGCCAAGCTTCGCAGCTCGTTAAAGGAGCTGAAATCGGGATATTTCCAAATCCAGTACAGAAATTTAGGGATGCCAAGAGTCGAAGAAGTGAAGCGGTGGTAACATTAGGTTGAGGGGCTCTTTTAAGTAGCTGTGCGCCATGTTCTCAGCTAATTAGCGGTCTCAGAAATCTGGGCTGGCTCCCCGGGCCTCGATCCAGGCCCTACTGGACTTGCGGGTGCCTGGAAACCATGCATGATGAATTTTCAAAGTCCACGCATGTTGTATGGCCGTCTCCGAAAAATTGCCAGACGTGTCTACCAGCAAATCTCTACCAGAAGCTCCGACTAGATATGGTAACTCTGGACAGCAAGCTGGGCAAGTTCTACCGTGCAATTCTTACTTGATTTGCACAGGAGTGGTTTCACACCTCAGAGTGGAGCTTGAGCCTGGTTAAAAGCAGGGACATGCAGGGATGCTCGAAAGATCAAGTTGTTCCAAGAACCGGTACCGAAATCAGGAGATTCTTGGTGCTGTCTGGTTTTGACTTCCCATCTACTGTACTTGCTGCAGGTGTCCCCGCCAAAGTCCAAGAAAGGTGCTGCGGTTGTTGCCATGTACTGAGCTAGCCGAGTCGCTGCAGTCGCTGAGCATGCTTAGCTGTTGTTTTTACTTTTGCCTTTGCCAAAAGGAGGCCCTGGCATCTGCGGGAGAAGTTCGCAAGGAGGACGCAGTCTTTTCAGGGCTTCGGATCTGCGCTGTTGACTTGCTGGTTGCAATTCTTTGAGCACACAAGGAAGGTGGAAAAGCGACTCTACCAGCATGCAGCTCAGAACTTGAGTGCGCGGTGGGGATATACGGTAATCCCGCCTTTGGCAGGGCACCCGAAGGACTGCTACTGTACTTGGTCCCGCAGAAGCCGCTCCACACCAGCGGAAGCCTCAGCAATACTTGCTCAGCAGTTTGCCTTGGTTGACTTTCCCAGGCGAAAGCGATTGGTCGGTCAGCTGGAGGCTCTGGACAAGTTCTGATGGGACTGCGTCACTCATCCCAAAGCCAGGAGAGCAGCAAGCGACAGAAAGTGTGAAAGCCTGAGAAACGTTGCGTGACAACGCGTGCGCATCTGTACCGCAGGGCAAAGTTTCAGTAGCTCAGTAGCCTTTGGCTTTCACTTTGACCGCTTCCTCCGTTTGAAGGCCCGCTCCTGGGAGCCGCCCGGAGACGGCAGGCAGGCCGCATCTTTCTGCTGAGGGCTTCTGGGTTACAGGGTATTGGATGACCAGGTAGCAATCTCTCACTGGCACCAGTTCTTCGACAAGGGCTGCGGTCAAAGGCTGCCTACTTGTCCTCACTCCCTGGCTCCTCGTATTTACTGTGCCTGACCGTGCAGCGCAGGACAGCAGTACCCTGGACCAGACCCTTTTGCTCAAAGACAGAGATCTGATGGACATTGTGCATTACTCATATTGCTCATGGTGATTCCTGACCTGCGACCCTGCCTAGATGCCGCCAACAAACCTGCATGCAGGACACATCTGTCCTGGAACTTTCAAGCCCTGAAGCGTTTGACCTGCTGCAAGAGTGCGTTTCGACCCCGGTGTCCGCATTTGCAGCAGGCATGGTGTAAATATTGGCAAAGTGCTAGGCCAAGCGACTTCTTGAGAAGCCTCTGGAGGGCCAGGTGGAAGCATGAAGGATTCCATGTGTCAGTGGTTGTACAAATTGTTCTGGAAGGTGTACTGCGCCTGGATCCAACGCGTGGTTTTTCATCATGGTGCGCCCACATAGCTCACAGAACATGTGTGTGGGCGTGTGATTGAACCAATCTTTCTAATTTTTTTGTTTTCTCCAGGTGTTTTCATACGCTCACATCCAGCGCTGCGAGATGCCCTTCGGCAGCGTCCTTGGGAAAGTCAGGACTTCGCCCATTTTCTACACTTGCTTTGCCATTCACTTAGTTCCAAGCCAGCCAGCAAGCAAGCAAGGAAGCACGGAAAGAGCGCACATCTGAGCCCAATACTTTTCAAAACGCGAAGCGGCGCGGCTTCCTGAAGCACGAAACCTGTACTAAGCCACAAAACCTGCCCAAATCCCAAACCACAAAATCCAAAGCCCTAAACCATGAAAAGAAACGACACCCTGGACCCCAAACCCTGAAGAGCCCAATCCAAAACCCGCAAACCCTAAATTCCAAACCGCACAACAGGCCAAGTCATAAATTCAAACACGACTTGCCGGTCACCCTACAGCTTGGGCGCCAACGATCTGAAACCCAAGCCGCAAGCCCTGCCCTGAGACCTTCCATGCGATCTCAAGACCTAAACCCTAAACTCCCAGACCTTAGTGAATCCTGAAACCAGAATCTAAATTATTCTGTAAACTTTGAGCAAAGGCTGAACCTTGGACCGACTATCTAAAACCTAAACTAGAGCACTAAATCTTGAATCTGATCACAAAAGGGATATGAAGCGTCTTCCTTTCTTGCAGCACCTCGAGACTGCGCCGATGTGCGACCACACTTGTTTGAAAGACATGCCAGTAACCTGTGTAGCGCATGGCAGCCGTAAAATCCCAATCCCTCAAGCCGTCAAAGCCTACACATTCTTGCCCATCTCAAGGAACAGCCCTGTGGGGCAATCATTAGGACTGGGTACAAAGGTTTTAAGCACAGATCGCCATGGCTATATCATTGTGCGAACATCACGAGAAGACGTTTGTGTTTAGTCAGTTACGTTCTTGCCTTGACGCAGTCCAAGTGCTGTATTCTTGCATGGGTCGTTCCACAAGAATTCTCACCCTCCGTCCACGCCTGTGTTCGCCTCGCATACCGCTTTTTAGTCTGGTTCTGAGGCTCTGGACTCTTGGATTTCAAGCCTCAGAAATGTTGCCTGTTGTGTGCTCCCTCCATACCGCTTGAACAGGTGTTCAAACACAGACAGACCTCTTCCCACCCATGCGCACCAACTTGAGCCACTCGCTGAAAAGGGAGAGGGCGAGCTGTGCTAGAGTAAGCCATTAAGCTGAACATGTCTTGTAGTTTGAATAGATAATTCTGGGAATTGAATCACACTGCATGAGGGTGAAACCGCTGAATCGTGGCAGCGAGATTGTAAGGAGCACGGCTGGGCTTTTTGGTCCAGAGTGGGAAGCCCAATGAAACAGGAAGTGGGACGATGAGATGCATGTGTTGACTGCCTTCGTGGCCAGTTCTGAAGGCGAAATGTTGCCAGGCGGTGGTTCGCAGCAAACATCTACTGTGAGTGGAATGCCTGTATGTCCGATCAATTCTTGAGTCATGTGTGATCATTGAGAAATCCCAGCACGAGGTGTCAAAGGCATGCTCAGCTGGATAGACCATCGAATGAATTAAAAAGCCTGTCGCCCCAAATCCAAGATGCCGACTGCCAAAATCCTCTCCCTTAAACCTCCAAGGCCCTGATCTTGCAAACCTAGGATTTTGACGGTATGCAGAACCTTAAACCTCAAATCTTAACCTGTACCTTAATTAAATCTAGCATATTACACCCACCAAAAGGTTGCTCTAAGAGCCATGAACCATCAAGTGGACATTTCAAACCTTGATGGACCTTCAAAAATCCTGAATCCCAGAATTCAACACTCGACCTGCAAAAGCTTTCCACCCTAAACTTAAGATAGCTTAAGACTTCTAAACCGAAATTGTGGCCAAACACGCAAGGAAATGGCCAAAGAGGCATGCAGAAGCTGGGGATGGGAGGGGTGCGAAACCGCAGAACTATCCAGATCATGAAACATTGGTAGACTGCCTGAAATCAAGGAGTGGAAACAACACGAAATGGAGCCGCAAACATCATTAAATCACGGGTGCGGAATAGGTCGTTACATTCGCCAGTGTGTTACGCGTGGAGGCTGTTCAAGCGGCTATTTGCTTGCTGCTTATGGCTGTGTCAGGCCTGTTTTTTCAAGCTTTTTGATCAAGTTGAAGCAGAAAGACTGCATGTTTTGCTTTGAGTGCAAATTTCGCGCGCCAAAGAGTATCATCCAAACGGGTTGCCCTGAAGCACAGCCTGAGCCTGCCGGGAATGTCCTCGGCGATCAGCACCTGACCAATACCAGGGCCTCCACAGCAACGCAGCAAAACGTGTGAAATGAGAGCAGTCTTAGGCTTCGCCAGGCACAGGAAGTTCCGAAAAATCAGCAAACGGATATCACCACATTTCTGCGCAAGCGCAGAAGCTGGAATGCGTGGGTTGCGAAGGTCTACATCTTCGTAGTGACCTGTTCTGAACAACTTTGGACGACGACCTCAAAGGGCACCCCTGATCGCCCATGACATTTGCGGTCAGGCTCAGGCTGTGCTCCAGAGCAGTGTCGAGCAAACGTGAGTTCACGATCCGTACACCACGGTCTCTTAGCGCTCGTTGTCATGCGTCGTCATGAGGGAGGGTGATCGCTTGTGAACCTACATTTGCAAGGCGCAAGTGCAAGTATGCACTATCTAGTAAGCTAGGGGGGTATATCTGATCAGATCTGAGGCCACTGCATGACGCCACTGCTTCACGATGTGTCTGGCACCTTGAAGCTCGCATGCAATCGTGCTGTCTTCAATGTCTTCTCTCTGAGGCATCTTACAGAGGTTTGATGTACATGCATGGTCGCCTTCACGGTCTCGTCTCGAGGGGTAAGGAGGCCGCATTTCCGGTGAACACATTTCTTTTTGGCCGTCTGCAATGCTGCTTTTGATACTGCTCTAAGAGTGGGAACCGCCTAGTTTCTTCTGTGGAAATTTGCATCAGAGGATGTAAGGTGTCCATGCTGTTCAGATGACGGGGCATGGATCCCGATAAACGGTGAAGGATCCCAAAGGCATCCTTTTGTCACAAATGCTTATCATGAATCTTGATGCTGTTGACTCGCTTCTACACCGCTCAGCTTTGCGATGTCGCAGAAGAGAGGAGGATGACCTGTACAGGTGCTTGACAGAGAGGCGACTGAAACAGTGGTGAGAGTGCCTTTGCTTTGGGCCTAGCATGATCGGCTGATGCACAGACTCGGGTGTGGACCTCGCGCAGTATCAAGGCTGGAGTACGTTGAGGGCGATGAAGACTTGGAGGAAGAGGACAAGCAGAAGCAAGAGGACCATGCCACGCAAACTGCACCTACACCAGTTGTTTCAATTTATTTTTGCTTGTAGCTTGGGCAATCACGTTGGTGGTAGCAGGATGAGGCTGGAGAGCTTGATGATGACGAAGATGATGAGGCAGGGCAGACGATGGTTCCTTGAATGCTTGTTGGCTCTGAACTTCCAGGACATTGATCTCAATGCGGATTGGTTGGACAGTGATGACTAGGCAGCAGGTGAAAACAAAATCAGTACAGTGCTATCTATGCTTGCAGCCCTGGATGGACAGAAATCACCTCCACTACAACCTGCCAAGCTCACTGGCTTTGCAGGATGACAGCATGTGTCAAAATAACAGAGCTGCGCATGATCATAGCACGTGTATGAGGTATGCGTACCCGGTAGTAAAGCAGGTGCTTGTGTTTGTGGACAAGATGTCTTCCTAATCACGCACTATGCATTCTGCAATCATTACTCTCGCGTGCTGGACCCAAGGTTTTGGCTTCACTCCTGTTCTTGCATGTTCTTGCGTCAACATGAGACTTGCCATTTTAGACTCGACATGTCATATCCTTACGGTCCGGGAGGTAAGCGCCTCATGGTGTGTCATGAAGTCGCCCGTGTGGCAATGCCTCGTGCTGCTGCTGCCTGGGCTGCCTGCAGTGGACTCCAAAGGAGACGAGAGCTGCTGGATGGATGGTGTGAGCTGGGAGACGTGCTGTGCTCCGGCCGAGCTTTTAGATGCTAGTGGTACGTTTCTAGATGTGAGGGGGTGCCTCTGTCCACTCTGGAGCAGACCTTGACAACTCGCAAGCGTCTACAGGCATGCTCTCCATTTTTTTGAGACTGAAGGTGCTGCCAAGTATGGTCCAGAGGCAGGTGGCCTTGCACTTGGCACATCTCAAGATTATCATGATCTTACTTGAAACCCTGTATCGTGCTTGTCAGGGGAATCGGGCCTGCTGGGATGGCGAGTTCACTTTCGAGCGCTGCTGTATAGACGCGGACGCCGCAATTCCTGCTGAATTGACAGCTGTCGGAGTACCTTGGCAGCCTCTGCAGATGTTGGAAGCAATCTCCGACGGCGCTTTCCTTTGGACATTGCAGCAAGGCTAAACTACAGCTTGCCGCTACTCGTAATGACGAAAGCTTGCTCCTTGGAGCTTGCGAGAGCTTGTGTTTTTCAATTTGGTCTCCTGGGCGATGGACAACTTCTGGGCCCGATATACGAAGCCCCCTTTTCCCTGCCTGACACTAAAAAGAAAGAAAGTCTCTGATTGTCGGGGGGGGCCCCCGCCCCCCTCGACCTTGAGGTCCCCTTCCCAATCGTGGACTCCCCCATCTATGTTTCGCTAGGTTTTCGGTCATCATTATGTTCAAGCAATGTCAGAGTAGCATTCTGGCAAGTAATTATAGGCGGTAAACCTACACGCCGATTTTTCTGGCAAGCACAGCAGACAGTATTGCTACTAGACCTACATGCCGATTACTTGGAAAATAGGAGTAGTACCTGAAACATGTTGGGCAAGTTTTTGTGGTGTCGACAGCTTGGTCGGAGGAAGCAGCTGTAGAGTCGCAGACTTTGATTTGAGGAAGAGGGTCAGCGACTCTACAGCTGTTCTTTCGGGGCAAGCCGTCGACAACAAGAAAGCCTACCAAACATGTTGGAGGTCTTGCTCCGGTTCTAAAGATCAACGTGTAATTCTTGCAGGTCTACTAGCAACACTGTCCGCTGTGCTTGCTAGAAGATTGTAAGTTTATCCATGCTGTCCCCTCTGCTTGCCAGACCGCTACTCTCAGACTGCTTCAACATCTGCATGCCAAACTTGCAATGCGAACCTGCAAAATCATGACCGAAAAGCATGCACAGACATTAAATTTGCACCTGGCTCATTCAAAGAAGAACCATAGATGGGGGATCTGCAGGTGGGGGCGAGGCTAGATCACAGCAGACAAGCCACACAGATTTTACGCGTGCTGATCCAGTGTTGCCCAGCGGCCGTGTACGACACGAGATAGTGGATTACACAGCGGTTATACAGAGAGAATCAAGAAGAGAACGGAAAATGGAACAGAGAGTGGGATTGTCTGGTGGTGTATGAGGGCCAGAGTGCTTCACCTCTGATCAGAAGGGCATGAAGGCATGGGAGCCAGTATAGTATTGGTATAGTATTAGGTTCTGTAGGGACACCCAGGCAACACTCGATCAGCCTGCGTCAGCAACAAATCCGGCTGGCTTGCTGTGATCTAGATTTTGTCTGCGCTGTTTTCAAGTGCAAGCGGATCTGGCTCCAAGACAGCGGTGTGGCATCACTGTGGCAATGAACCATGAGCGGTGCATTTCTGGCAGCTGCAGCTGCTTTTAGTTTCGAGCACGGTTCTTTCAAGGGTGCTCGCTTAAAGATCCAAAATATTTGGCTTCTTTTACGGGAATCCATTTTTTCATTTCAATTTTCTTGTTTTTTAAAGATCCCGCCTGCATGCTGCCTTTTTTTGCATATTGCTCCCCGCTATCCGTTTTTTTTTTTTTTTTTTT